AGGCCTCCTCATCATCCTCCCATTCTCTGCGAGGGCATTGCATCATGTTTTCATTTCCGCTCGATGTGACGCCAAAAAACTACCTGCCACTGGTTCTGCGCGCGTTCTGCTGCACATGCAGGCAAGCCGCTAGTCTGGCGCCTACCTAAGAATTTACTCCGGATGTTTGCCAAATATGGACATTTGAACGCCTATGACTTTTTCCGGAAAACAGTATCGCAGACATGGAATGCAGATTTGGAATCAGCTCATTAAAGCGCAGCTAATGATATGCGGTCCTCGCCACTTTAAGTTGGGATCGTTCCCGGTTAAGACAATTTTTGGCTAAAAACTAGCTCGCGCGTTTTTGGTTGCACTGCGTAAGGCTTTCGCCCTTATACGGTACAAGCAGAAGTTCTGCTGAAAATCGAACGAACGTGCAGAATCGCGTGCAGCGCGAGTATTCTTCAATGGGATTGACACTAAATTTTATTAATGTGCCGCGTATACTGTTTTCGGCTTTTCACATGGCGCTTACGATCAGATCTCTCGAAAGACCATACACTATCAAGTTACGGTGTTCGTGTGAACGCATAATAAACCATAGCCCACGTGAATACTTCAACAAGAGGTTACTTCTTAGACTGGTGAATACCATGCTCAAAAGAATGGAGACGTTCGAAAAACAATGCTGCAAAACTCACTTTCTATAGCCATGTAGTGTTGTTTGCTAGCTGGATCAATGTAGATCTGCATTGGCTGTTGATGGAGTGCAGTGACTGGCATACCACCAACGCCTCCGGCTAGTACAACAGGAGCACCATGAGAAGAAGACATGGCCTGCATCTAGCATTTTTTATGAGATTTACATTTCGTATGAACAAGGATGGTTCAAAACAACTCTTACCGTTCCTGAATGTGCATTGTTCGAGACTGTTGTAGCAGTCTAAAAAAATCGCAAAAAATGACTGAGAAACAATAAGGACTCTCACAACAAATGTGACAGAAATCTACACGTGAAGCATTGTTTTTCAGCATGTGAAAATTTGTGGTACTGTCTGCCTTCTTGCGCGGATAAAAGCTGTACATGCTCGCACTTGTACTACGGCTATAGAAGGACTGGGGCAGATACCGCGTATGACGCCGCTCAATCCATAAAAAGTGGTCATTTCTGTCCACACAACTACAGAGATCTGCCAGCCATGACGTCGATGGATCGCATTCAACATTCAAAGGCAGCGCCCAGGCACCTGTCCTCAAATGATCGCCAGG